CCTCCAAATCACATAGTTGACCAGACAGACGTTGGAAAACCCTAAAGATGATGAAGTTTAACACTGGATAACATAATCTGGCATAAGCAAGAGAAGCCAACACCCTACTCACATACATACCCATACAGATTAAATGTTAATTCATTCGGTCACAATTCAACTGAAACATAAAAGTGATCTGAGAATCACTCAGGCTAGTAACTCATAGAAAGTATTTGTACTGTTCAGTCAGTTTTTTCCCAGAGATTTAAAAACAGCTCAGCCAGTCACAATTCCAACAGACGCTTATGGTTCTGATAAATTATATCACATGCTTTCCCTAAAAATACGTGCTCTAGAACTTTGTTTATTCAATTATAAGGTCCATCACCAGCCTCTACTAGACCTCTGTTGTTGTTGTTGTTAGTTGCTGTCGCATCGATTCCGACTCATGGCGACCCCATCCGTGCAGAGTAGAACCGCTCTATAGGGTTTTCAAGACTGTGGCCTTTTGGAAGCAGATTGCCAGGCCTGTCTTCTTCTCAGGCTCCTCTGGGTGGGTTCGAACCACCAACCTTTCAGCCGTTAATCAAGCGCTTAACCATTCGCACAAGCAAGGGACACCTACTAGTCCACCCCTGCCATATACTCCGTTATTTTGCTTTATTTTACTCCATTACACTTATCAGCTAACATATTCCCACTTATCATCAATCCTAACATGCACTTTTCTTCACATTGTAAGATGAATTCTGATTTTAGAAATGTTAGAATCAATGAAGCCCCACAATTTTTAACCACCAGGTGGCAGCCATCAGGTGCCACAGTCCATATATACACAACCTTAAAAACAGCTATTATTAATGACTTATTTTGAATTATACACACTGTTAAGTTTCAGTGCAATTAAAAATATCTTTCATGATTTATATAGAAATGTTTAAAATCCTGCATATGGGATCTATCAAAACTAAAAAAGATTTAAAAAAAAATCAAATGTTAGCAAGAATGTAGAGTAACCAGAACTCTCATACACTGCTGGTGGAAGTGTAAATGAAACAATCATTTTGGAAAACTGGCAGTATATGCTAAAGCTGATCATATGCATATTCCAGTAATTCCACTCCTGGGTATACACTCAACTGAAATGCATACGTATGTTCACCAAAAGACATGTACAAGAACGTTCATAGCAGCACTAGTCATAACAGCCCAAAACTAGAAACTATCCATATGCTCATCAACAGGAGAATGGACAAATTCTGGCATAGTCACATTATGGAATATTACAGCATAAGCAAACTACAAATAACACCCCAGAATATGAATAAACTGCACAACATAAAGTTGAAAGTTTGATCAGACAGAAGTGTGTGTACTATATGATTCCATGTCTATAAAGTTCAAAAACAGGTAAAATTAATCTATGGTGCTAAAATCAGGAGATTAATAGTGACTGAAGAGAACACAAGGAGGCTTCTGGGAGTGGAAAATATATTATTTCTTGATGTGGTGTGGTTTTCAATTTGTGAAAATTCATCAACTTATATATACTTATAGTATATAGTATATGCTTATATACTGTAAACTCTTCTGTATGCATGTTAAACTTCAATAAAAAGTATTAAGTTTTTATGTAAGCAGAAAGACACAGAAACAGAGCAGTGAAGCATAAATTTGGTATTAGAGAAACAAATTTGTCAATAGAGAAATGATCTCATCTGACTTCATTAAAGGACTTAAGGAGATGCCCACAAATTGATGAAGCTGATTTATATTTTATTGCTGAGATATGTACAAAAGAATCACCTATCATAAGTTAAGCAATGAACCTAAAGGCAGGAAAGACTGTTAATACCTTAGAATGGATGAAAGAAATCTCAGAGTAATAAGAAGCTAGTAAGAGTCAATCACAACTCACACAGGACTATTGCTAAGGCCCTGTGTTTCCGTTTAATTGGAAGTGTTTATTTTCTCTTGGTGAATATAAAATAATAGTGAGTCTTAGAACAGACATCTTAGAGTCGATGAAATACTGTATATATATTTTCTTGTTTGTTTGCCAGATACAAGCAAAGCACAACACAACACCTATGGAGATTATAAAGGGAAGCACTTAAGGACCCTGCTGTATAAGTTTCATATTTATATATACAAAAAAAAAAAAACCCTCGTTGCCATCGAGTCGATTACAACTCATAGCAACCCTACAGGACAGGGTAGAACTGCCCCATAGGGTTTCCAAGGAGCAGCTACTGGATTCGAACTGCCGACCTTTTGGATAGCAGCCGCGTGCTTAACCACAGCACCACCAGGGCTCCATATATATAGAGACAGAGAGAGAGAAAGAGAGGCGCTAAAACATTCATTTAAACAACTACCATAATGATTTAGAATGATACTAGTAGTATAAGAAAAGTACAAAGTATAAAAAATAAAAACAGGAAAAAAGGAGAAATTTATTCCTGCTAATGACTGTATGGAAGTTTTTCAGAAGCATCAAGAAATGTGCTGTCCAATACGATATACACTAGCCACATGTGACTATTTAAATTTAAATGAATTAAGGTAACGTGCTGTCTCTAAGGATGCTTGATCCTGTGGTGCCCAATGACCATTAATATGAACCAGTCACAATGATTTAGCAAAAAGCTAAGAAACAAGAGTTCCCTCAAAAAGAATAAATGAAGTTTACAGAACCTATATTAAGACAAAAGAAACAAAAACAATCCTTGCCAAATATATCATAATCTCAAAAAACACCCTTAAAAGGAAACATCAATGAAACAACACTTATCAAACAAGTAACAGACAGAAGTAGTACATTGGGAGCTAGGGGGACATAAAGATATTTAGGCAGTCTCTGACTTCCAGGAGCTTTCATCTACTTGGGGAGATAAAATGTTCATGAACAATTACAATGCAAGCAAATGTTATACTAGTATACTTAGGAAACAATTACACTATGAACTCTGAGTTGAAAGGACTTTGGAGGTCTCTTAGTCCAGTCTTCTCCCTTGTCAGGAATCCACTCTACAACATCCTTACAAAACATTACTCTGCTAAGTGCACCAGGGATGAAGGTGCCACAACCTCACAAACAGTTCAGAAGCAACTGAAGAAACGCGCCAAAAGGAGCTGAAGGTAGAAATTAACAAATTCAGAGCAATGACAATTAGAAATATGGAAGTCAAAGGAGGGGACAGGAAAGCTGGTAATAGGGAACTCAAGGTCGAGAAGGGAGAGTGTGAACATGTCGTGGAGTTGGTAACCAATGTCACAAAACAATATGTGTACTAATTGTTTAACGAGAAGCTAATTTGTTCTGTAAACCTCCATCTAAAGTACAATTAAAAAAAGAAATACGGAAGTCAAACGAATATCAAGTAAATACTAATAGTATAGAACCATACACTAAAGTACTACTATGGCATACAGCCCATTATGACACAAACCCAGGGAAAAAAGCAACAGTGTGTCATAAAACCATCCCCCAACTAGAGGTCTAACTATGGAAAACGGAGTGGAATAAATTAAGGCAAAATTTTACTCTCTCTAGCCCCTAACACTGCTAGCTCTCACCTGTCTGTAGGTGACTTCTGTTTCCACCTGAGCCAGCAAAGGAGGAGAAACTAACATTTACTAACATTCAGTAGCTACCATGTGTCAGCACAGTGCTACGCATTTCTCATGTATCATTTAATGTATGTACAACCAGGTCTTTACTGCTGACTGGACCTCCCCAGAGGAACCTGTTGTATCTATTATGATATTTTAGAGACATTTAGAAGACAGCCTGACAAGGAGGAAAAAGTGTTAGAGACTTGAAGATAGAAGATCTAGTCTAGATTTCTGGTCCTGCAGTTGCGTGACTCTGGGAAAATCTCTGGATCTCTCTGAGCATCAGTTTCTTAAGTATCTGCCCTGTCTACCTCCCAAGTTGTTGTAAGGATCAAAATGGGATAACTTATGTAAAAGGAGTCTGTAAACATCACACATCATTGATATCCACTCATTCATTTAACAGGCATTTACTGAGCGTTTATACTACTCTAGGTTCTAAGGTTACAGTGGCGAACAATACTGGCAGGTGCCTGCTCTCGTGGAACTTACATTCTAGAAGGTGAGAGACAGACAATAAACACAAGTCAGCCAGAGTTTCCAACAGTGATGAATGCTCTAAAGAAAGTAAAACACGAATGATGTGAAAAAGAAGGGAGTAGGGGAAAGAAAGCTACTTTAGATGGAACAGTCATAAAAGGCCTCGCTGAAGTGATATAGCTGAGACCTCAAAGAACTCCTCAGCCAAGGGCAGCACTAAGAAACAGGTGTTCTAGGCATAAGGAACAAGACAAGCTTGGTGTGTCTGAAGCACTGAAAGAAGAAAATATGCCTGGAACACAATGAATGAGAAAAAGTATGTTAGGAGATAAGGTTGAAAAAGTAGACTGAGGACAAATACAGTATAGTTTTAGACTATGAAAAGGATATTATCATTACCATAAAGCCCCTCTTTTCTTCAACGTGGCCGGAGAAATTGACTCATTTATGCAAATATCTAGTGTACATGTTATCAGAAGTAAGACATTACAAGCTTTCTAACTGAGCAATGCCATCACCAAGAAACAAGTGGAAAGACTCTAGATATGAAATTCTTAAAAACTAATCTAAACAAAGACATCATTTGTTATGATATCTGGCAAGTCAAATAGTCAGAAACTTCTTTATAGTGAATAGAAGTGACAGAATTATTTGAGTTGAAAAAACAACTTCTCAGCAAAAAAAAAAAATCAGTTCATTCAACAAATATTTATCAAGAACCTACTATGTGGCAGTCATGTTCTAAGCACTAGAGATACAGCAATGAACAAATCAATAATTATTTAAGAAAAAATTTTAAGATTTAACTATAGAAGTATCATAATACCAAAACAGAACCTCAACTTATTTTACATCTCAGCATTTTCTGAAATAGGAGTTAAAAGGCTTAGTCATATGTACCTGTCAAAAAGCAAACTTACCAAGGAATTCTTAATCACTTCACTTCTATAAAATTCTGGAAAAGAAGAAAAAAAAAACAAAAACAGTAAGTGATATGGAAAAAAATAAGCTCATGAACTTCTTTCCTGTAAAATTTTTAACATATGTTCCATTAAAATATTTAAAACATTTTCAAGGGATCTATTCTCTCTTTATTCTTATCAGCAAAATAGAAATATTAAAAATAAGATTAAAAATTAAATAAAAGCATTTTAAAGGGAAAAAGCATCAGTAAAGAAAGGTCAACACCTTTTTAAGATTTAATTTAGTGATTATTACCCTACTGGCTCCTTTTATCCCAGATTCTAATTTGAGCCTTTAAAAACTCAGATTTTCTTCTTCTCTTCCCACCCCTGCTCTCCACAAGTGATTCCATATGCTCTGTTTTTCTCAAATGCCTCTAATGATTATCCATGGCAGTACTATGGAATGAATACTAATCTAGCAACCAGGTGACCTAACTTCTAAGCTCTGTCATTAACATGCTGTCTCTAATTTCCTTGGGCCCATTTCTTCATTAGACAACTTAGGGAGTCAGACTAATAATCAAAGGTCATCTGTAAGCATTAAAGTTTTGTGATTCTATAAACCCCTCCATATCTGTCAGCAAATGTTACAAAACCCAAAGCCCCAGTCAAAAGACAGAAATATGTCAGAGGTTCAGATGGACACTCCCACCATTATCCAACTCTCCAACATTCCCTCTGCTGACTCTGCCCAATTCATCGCCATGCTGCTTTGTCACTGCGGTCTACAACGGCCCTTGTATCCTTATGTTGCTATAAGCCAGTATCTCCCAGGTGTGATGCACATACCACTGGTACCTGAGATGACTTTAGGTGATACATGGACAATCTTTACTTTTTTCTACTATTCTGAATGTATGTCTCACATATCTAACCCATAATCGTAAGTTCCATAAGGGCACTGGCATTTGTTTTGTACAACTGCTGCTTCCTCAGAGCCTAAAACCGTTCCTGTCACAGGGCAGATATACAATAAATATTTTTTTTTATTGAATGAACAATTTCAAAGATTATGCTTAAGCCGACAAATTTTAAAGTAATCAACTCAAAGAAAAATATTATGTATGTAACAGTATAGATGGCACTCAAAGTGTCCACTAATGACTGAAGCTAGGGAATCTTCATAAAAGTCTTATGGGCGAGGTGTTCTGATTAAAGCACTTCTTGACAAGCATATCATCTACATTGCTTTATTCTTGGCTTCCTTAAAAAAAAAATGATATAATCATTCTATGCTGTGGAGAGACAATCACAATACATTAAGTGAAGAAAGCAGGTTCTAAGAGAGGATTTACAACAGGATCCCAATTTTTGTAAGAAAATTAACAATGTTTATCCAGGTGGTAGGATTAAGCTGCTTACTTTTATTTTTTTGCTGGGCAGTTTTTTAAATTTTCTATTATAAAGTTATTTTAAAATACAAAAAAGGATAAACCTAATTTTTAAAAAGAATCTCCTACTGATGAACCTTTAAGTATTTCAACAACATTATTTGGGGTTATTTCAAATAATGTCTTAGGATGTGTGTGTGCGCGCGCGCGCGCATGCGCGTGCGTGTATGTGTATCCTAAGACATCTGAATCTACAGGCTATAGAAAAACTGCAAGAACAAGGTACAAACACAGTTTGATTTTGATAGATATTATCAAACTGTTCTGTAAAAACAACGTATTAATTTACAATCCTACTTACAAAAATGCCTGTTTTCTAACACTAGGCAACACTAAGTATTATTATTTTCATTTTTCCCCCAATGGTTAACCAATTATTCCAACCATTAACTGACTATATAAATGTGTGTGTGTATTATGTATGTGTATGTATATCTTCTAACATACATGCATCATATATATTTTTTCAGAAATGGCAGAGGGGCAGGCAGCATTTCATTCCATCATGAGTCGGGAGCCAATGTGACAGCAGCTAGCAACAACAACAAAAAGACTTAAAAACTGATTGTTTTATTACAAGGCACTGTCACTATATATTTAACATGTTTTTGTATTGTTTGAATTTATTATAGTAAGTATGTATTACTTTTTAAATCAGGAGAAAAAATAATATTCTTTTTTTCTTTTGAAAGAGAGAATTCCTTAGCTTAACCTGCAAAGCATCAAAGTTAAACAGTTCCCAAAACAGGTATCTCCAGCTGGAAGATGATGAATAGTATCGATATTTCTTCTAAAACTTTGTTGACCGACTATGTGAATAAATAAAACTAACAATTCACCTTTTCCATTAGTCCCTCAAAACGAACTTGCTAATTAAAATGAAGGGAGGTCAACAAATACAAGCCAACAAATTTGGAAAGAAATCATCCAATATGAGGTAATTTCTGACACACTAAACTTGGGCCTACACTGTCTATCATTCTATTAAACAATATTGTTAATGAAATTAGCAGCATGGTGCAAACAGAAGAATACTGAACTCAGAGTCAAAACACAGCTCTAGTTACCAATGCACCATGTATAAACTTTGTGACCCTGAACAAGTCAATTAAGCCTTTTGGGCCATAGTTTTCTTCACCTTTCAAAGGAGAATGAAACCTGGAAAACAGGGTTGTTGTGACACTCAAATGAAATACAGTAAATTAAAAACACTTTATAAATTTAATTTTTATTACTTCATTTTTATTAATTTTTATTAATTCAATTTGAGCAAAATCATTTGACAAGTAAATTTTCAAAGATATCATCGACAACCACCTTCTACCTGAAAGGGTCCATTAGATAAAAATGCTTCTCCATCGATTCATGCTAAAATCTAAAGAAACAAAGCAATCAGAGATTGCAGAGCATGGTTTCAACAGCATGTTCTGGCTGTTATGCACATTCAACAAATATTTTTCTTTAGTACATCAACTTTACTCATAAATAGCAAAAATACAAATTTAAACTTTACTACAAAACTATTTTTCACCTATCAGATTGGTAAAAATTCAAATGCTTAACAGCACAGTCTGTTAGTCAAGGTGCAGGAGGAAAAAGGTGCCAATATATATGAAGCGAGAATATAAACTAAAACAAGCCCAATGGAGAACAATTTTGCAATATTTATCAAAATTAAAAATACCTACACTCTTTGACTCAGTAATTTCACTTCTTGGAATTTAGCTTATAGCTATACTAGCATTCATATAAAATAATATACGTACTTATAAAGTTACTCAATGTAGTACTGTGTGTAATAACAAAAGACTGGAACCATCTAAATGCCCACCAATAGGAGCTGGCTAAATAAATTCTGGTACATCTATTTGATAGAAATCTATGCAGGAAAAAAAATAGTACAAAAGAAGCTCTTTATGAGCCAACATGGAAAAATCTTCAAGGTAAATTCATTGAGAAACGCAAGGTACAGAAATAGGTAGGTAAGTAGGTGGGTGGGTGGGTAGGTGGGCAGACAGGCAGACAAATAGATATAGTACGGCATTTTCTCTGTAAAAAGTAGAAGGAGGAAGGAATAAAAACCATAAGAATACTTCTATTTTTACTTGTATTTGCATAAAGCATCTCAGGAAAGATGAATAACAGTGGTATCAGGGTGGGATACAAAACTATGGAGATGCAAGACAGGTAAAAGGAAGGTTGTGATATAAACTTTTACACACACACACACATTTTAACGATGCACTGCATTATCTATTCAAAAAGTTGAAAAGGAAAATAAAGAAATATTTGAGGGCCTAGTATATGCCAAGCATTGTTCCAGGTTATTAGGGCTAGAACAGTGAACAAAACTGACTTAAAAATTTCTGTCCTGCCTTCCGGCAAAATGGCGGTCTAGGCAGAAGCATCACGCCGTCCCTCCACAGCAAAGATCCGAACAACTAAGCCAAACAGAGAAAACAACAATCCTGAAACCCTAAAAAATCAAATGAAGAGATGAAGAACTCAGCCAAGCACCAAATGGAGTGAGAAAACTGACAGAGAATGGAGAGCGAGGAGAGATTCATGCAGAGGTCCCCTACCAGCTAACACAGGACGGACCCGCCATCTTGGACTCCTATCGGAGACCAGCAAACGGGGTACAAGAAAGCAGCTTCACGGAGCTTCCAGCAAGAGACAAAACAACCAGTAATTTGCAATATACACTTTCCTACCACCCACCCTTTATCATCCTGACTCGGCGTCCTCTGCTTCCCGCGGCCAAAATCTCTTCTCCAGGAAGCACCAGCTGCCTGGATTCCACACACCTGAACGGGCCAGCTCTCTGAGTGTCATTTGTTGGATGCTGGTGTTGCTTTTTTCCACTTGTTTTGATTTCTTCCTTACCTCTCACCACCTCCCCCTCCTTTCACTCAAATACCTGGTTCCGTGCACAATCTTTGCTTCTTCCTGAGGGGCTGCAGAGCTCCGGTAATTTGTGATATACACTTTCCCACTCCCTACCCTTCTTCACCCACACTCGGCCCCCTCTGCTTCCCGTGGACACAGTCTCTTGTCTGAGAGACACTGGCTGCTTGGATTCCACCAGCCCGCACTAGCTGGCTCTCTGAGTGCCATTTGTTGGCTGCTGGTGTTGCTTTTTCTTCTGCTTCTTTTGATTTCTTCCTTACCTCACCACCTCCCCCTCCTTTCGCTCAAATACCTGGCTCCGTGCGCCATCTTTGCTTCTTCCTGAGGGGCTGTGGAGCTCCGTTGGAGTGTGGAGCTGCTCCCGGTCTGGGCTGCCGCACTGGTGGGATCCAGGGGCTTTTGATCATTTGTTTGTTTTCAATTGTTTGTTTGTTTTCTTTCCTTTTTTGAGTTTGGAGCCCTTTCTGGCCAGGCGGTGCTGTGTGGAAAGGAGACTACGCCCTTGGCTTGCATAAACGTGCAGAGGGATCCCTGACAGCATTTTTTTCGTTAGTTTTTTTTTTCCCCTTTTTTTTTTTTCTGTTTTTTGGGGGGCTTTTCCTGTTCTTTTTTTCTTTAATTTGTTTTCTTTTCCCTCTTTTTCCCTTTCTGTCTTTCTTCATTACTCAGTTTCTCGTCTCTCTATAAATTCCTTCACTTTCTACTACCTGAATACTTGGTGTTGTATACCTCTACAACATTGGCCAGGCTGTACTGGAACACCTGAGAGCAACTTCCCCATACCTCATAGCTGCAACGGTGGGATCCCTGGGAACTTTCCTGTTCTTTTCCCTTTCCGATTTTTATTTATTCATTCTTTTCTTTTTTTTCCTTCTTCTTCCGCTTTTTGTTTTTCTCCATTTCATAGTCTCTCATCTCTCCACTCCAGTGGCAAACTCCCCTAGCATTCTTTTTTGTTTATTTGTATGTTTTTGGCTCCTGTTCCTCTCTCTTCTCTCCCATATCCATCTTAGCGCCACACATAACAATCTCCCCGCTACATCCTGCCTACCTTCACCATGGGCCTAACATCACACCACCAAGCAGCACAGGCAAGGCCTACTGGAACCTGCCCTGCACTGATTACTCACCCGTCCTGGTGGGTGTGGTGAGTGCCACAGACAACCCATCCCAGAGACTCCTCTTCAGCTAGACCTGCCCTGAGGTACCATATCAGAGTGACTAACCCTGCCAACTGGAGAAGGAGGCGAAAAGTATTGTGCCCACAGATGAGCAAACAACAAAGAACACACAGTCCGCCTGCTCAGACATA